GAGGTTGGTGAGTGCAAAGTCTGCACAGTGGGCTGGTGGGCTGGAGACCTGGGGAAGAGCTGATGCTGCAGCTCGAGTCTGAAGGCCATCTATGGACTGAATGCCTTCTTGCTTGGAGAAAGTCAGCCTTTCTGTTCTATTCACGCCTTCACCTGATGGGATGAGGCCCACCGTGGGAGGAGGATAATCTGCTTTTCTCAAAGCCCCCCAGTTTAGATGTCAATCCCTTGCAAAGAACACCGTCACACAAATAATGGTGGCTCAACCAGGTGGACACACACAACTGATGATCACAGTTGCTTTAGGGAAAATAGACACATAGCATGACATAAAATAGAACCCCTTTAAAATCATCCCCTTTTGAGTTGCTTCCCAGCCTTCCAAGGAGAAAGTCTCAGTGCTGGCTGGCATGTCTTTAACACTTCCTAAACACATGTGACATCCTGTTTCAGCAAGAAGAGACAGCTGGCCTTGGTCATGAGCTTTCAGCGGCCACTGTTTCTAGCTGGGCATCTGATCACGTTTTGTTTTCATTGTAGTTCTTTTTCCCGGCACCCTCGATTAATGGCAGGCAAGGATGACTTTCCATGTGAGTCTTGATCCCGGGTCTCCTTTTATAAAGATATGAGCTTAAAAGGTGAGGAAGCCTGTCGGAGCAAGGGTGGTATGGAGATACCCCTGAGATTCTGAAGGCGGGAATAGGAGTGATGGATTTGGGAAAATGGATGTAAGCCTGGTGGGTTGGGATGGTGCCTGAAATACCCCCTATTGGTCTAAGGTTCCTCCGGCCTGGTGAAGTTGTAGGAAGTGATTTCTGGTCCCGGACTTGCCAGCAGAATGCACTTATGGAAAGGACAGCTCCTGGTCACTTAGGAGAGATGACAAGGCTGTGATCATGAGCGCCACTGATCCCCCAGGGATTGCTTGAAAGGCACTGATACAGAGTGTTCTGTGAAGGAGAACACAGCCGCAGCCTAATGGCTGTGAGGACGGGTGACTCCCTGTGTTTGACACCTGCTTCACCCCTAGCCACCGAATCCAAATCCGCCTCACCCCCAGGCTGACACGTGAGCCCACAGGGACACCACCAACCCTCTGTGGGCTGGGGTGTGGGTTTGCCGGGTGGCGTAATTATAAGGAGCTCCTCAGATGACAGCAGCCAGCAGGGAGATCTTTAACTGAGGGCTCAGGCACGGTCATCAGCAGAATGGTGGCTATTAGCTCTTCCGCAAAAGCTGCCCAAACTAGCAGACATTCAACAAATATTTGCTGAGTAGCCTTGGGCTCTGGGCGTAGGAACATGGGTAAGGCCTGATCTCTGTCCTTGAGAATGGAATCTGTTAAAGCGCTGTACCGGTTAGCTGTTGCCGTGTAACAAGCCACTCTGGAACATACTAGCTTAAAACAGAAAACGCTGATTTAGCTCACGATTCTGCAGGCGGGCCATGCGGGCTGGGCTCAGCTGGGCTCCCTCACGTGTCTGGGGTCAGCTGGCAGTCGGCCCGGGGGCTGGCTGGTCCAGCGTGGTCTTTGAACCTGCAGTCACTGAGCGGAGAGATTAGAAGCGTGTGACGCCTCTTGGCTTCAAGTCATTTCCACTGCCTTTTATTGATAGAAGAACTGACGAGGGCAGCCAGGGTTCAGTGGGTGGGGAAATAGATTCCACCCCCCTTTTGGGGGGGATTAAGATTTATTTACTTATTTAAGAGAGAGAGAGCTTGAGCAGGAGGGTCAGAGGGAGAGAGAATGTGGGAGCACGACACAGGGCTCCATCCCATGACCCCGAGATCGCCACTGGAGCCAAAGCCCGAGAGTTGGATACTCCAACTGACTGTGCCCGCCAGGCACCCCTGGATTCTCTTTCTTAAAAGGAGGGTTCGATTTGCGAAAATTTTGTTAAAATCTTTTGTGCCCGTGAACCTGAGGGATGTTGGTCGGCATTCTTCTTTTCTTGTGATATCTTGCCTGCTTCTGGAATCAGGGTCATGCCGGCCTCGTAGAATGAGAGCAGGTGTGTGGGTGTGGTGGGGGAGAACCCTCCCCTTCGATTTTATGGAGGTGTTTTTTGTATAGAGTTGGTATTATTCTTCCTTGAATGTTTGTCAGGATTCACCAGTGAAGCCATCTGGGCCCGGAGTTTTATCTTTGGGAAGGGGCTCCCGGCCCTCGATAAGTATCTCTTTCTCCTTCCAGTACCAAACTGGAGAGAAACATCTAGCTCTGTTTCTTCTTCTTAGCTCTCCAACTCCTTGAAATCTGGCTCAATGAGCTGTCCCTTGGACACATATTTATTGGGCACCGTTTACAAACTGGGCACTGTTCCGACTACTGGGAGGACTGTCTGTGCATCATACAAGGAGTCGGTCGCAGGGGAAACGAGAACACGCAGGTAAACAATGACAGCGACAGCGTAACATCAGGCCAGGACAGGTGCTATGGGAGAAGAGTAGAGAAAGGCTTCAGTTCACGTCAGTAAGATTCTCATCAGCAAGTTTGCTCAACGCCGCCTTCTCTGATCTCTCCTCTCGAGGCTTCTGCTTCTGCATCCCATTGTCTGTTCTAGGCTTTCTCCCCATCTGGTGCCCCCTTCCCCAGTCTTCTTCCAGGTGCGACTGCATACCCCACCTGCATGCCCGTGATGGGGGGCTCTGCTGGCCGCTCCTATTCTCGCTGGAGGGAAGGTCCTGCCCATATTCCCATTGCCGGGGCACATTTCCACATTGTTACCAGACTTGGCTCTCCCAGTGGGCCGTCGCCCTCACCCTTGCCCGGCAAATGTGTTCCTCCTGCTACAACCCACACACATCAGGGGAACCAGCATCCGCTGTGCTCATGCCGGGGCCCCCGATCCCCAAACCCAGTGCCAGGCTTTGTGACTCTTCTGGAGAGCTCCTGCTCTTGTATCTCACCAGGGACCTGTCCCTTTCCTGCCTGCTTCTCCTCCTTTTTTTTTTCCTAAGATTTTATTTATTTATTTGTAAGAGAGGGTACACAAGGAGGGGGAGGGGCAGAGGGAGAGGTAGGCTCCCCGCTGAGCAAGAAGCCTGATGTGGGACTCGATCCCAGGACCCTGGGATCACGACCTGAGCCTAAGGCAGATGCTGAGCTGACTGAGCCACCCAGGCGCCCCCCTTTGCCTCCTTCTAACCCATCTTCTGACTGTGGAATGCGTTTCTTCCCGAGGTAGGTCTCACTATGTTCCTCCTCGAGAGCCTTCTGCCCCTCCCAGCGGGCCCTAGGACGATGTGCAAGCTTCCAAGGCCTATGACGCTTCTGGCCCAGCCCTAGGCCATGCCCTGCACACACCCTACTCACCCTTGTGCTGCGCGGCCTCCCAGCACGCCCGTCCCCATGGCTCTCCTGCCAACCCCCCCGTGCTCCCGCCCTCCCCTTGGAGACCCAGCTCAGATGTCACTTCCTCCGTGAAGACTCGGATGCTGTCCCCGCGGGGCCGCTCCCGCTTCCTCTGTGTTCTCACAGCATGCCTGGCATCATGTCACATCGGCTTATGTACCTACCCGCCCTGGTGTTCTTCACTGACCCGGCCGCGCCCAGGGTACACAGGCCTGCCTGACTCTTCTGTGCATCACCGGGGCCCCGGACATGGTGGGTTCTCGATACGTGCTCGTTGTGGGAGTCATCGCTCCATTTTAAAAACAGTGAGCGGAAGGCTGGGGTTTGAGCCCGCTTCTGCCACCTGCTAATTTCATGATCTGGGAAAATCCTCCAAGTTCAACTTCTAGGCTGCAAAGGGGATCATAGCCCTTGCCCACCCTTCTGACGGGGGGCTGTCACCTCACTGACACGTGTTGACCCTGCGTGCCGTGAAGAGAGGTGCTTTTAGCCTGGGGGACTCTGGGTGACCTGTGCCTCACTTTGTGGGGCCTAGAGTAAAGCTGTGCAGTGCTGGCCAGCATCCAGAGCCACCTGTGGCCCCGGGATCTCGGACCCGTCTGATCAGACCTTAAAGGACTAGGACCCCAGGACAGAAAAGAAATTCAGATTTCGGGTGGGCAACATGGTAGTTTCTCTAGTGCCAGATTGCCTGGGTTCAAGTCCCAGATCCAGCCTTTACTAGCTGTGTGACCTTGGGGACGTTGCATAACCTCTCTGAGCCTTTTCTTCACCTATTCACTGAGGCTCATTGTAGCACGGACATCAGAGTGTTGTGGTGAGGAATGAGTAGGAGCTTCGGAGGCACTGAATGTTGGCTGCTGTGCTGCTGTGGTCATGATTATTCCAGTAGACGGAAAGACTCGGGCCTGCACAGGCAGGGTCAGCCTCAGTGGTTTCTGCCCCGGAGCGTTGCTAAATCCCAGCGTCCCGCCTGTTGCCCTTTCTGCCGCCAGCCCAGCGTTGGCGCTGTGCCCAGAAGCCCCAGCCACAGTGAGCGCAAAGCTGGGCCGCCCAGGGCAAAGGGGCTTCTGCCAGCCCGAGGGCATCTGGGACGCCTGGATATCCCAGTATGGCTGGTGTCCAGATACCAGGCCAGGAGGCCGAGCTGACCTCTGCCTTCCTGAAAACCAAGGCCAAAGCCGCTGCCCCTCGGAGCACTGTGGGTGGTAGGAGGAGCCTGGCTCCCTGCCAGCCAGCCCATGGGGAGCACCTCCAGCTCTGCAGCGGGCCTCCTGGCCTCCTCCCGGGGTTCAACCCAGAGCCTCCTCAGCCTTTCAAGTCAGAGCTGTGGGTGGAGTGCTTCTGGGTCGAGGGAACGACCCCAGGCCTCCAGACGCCAGACTTCTCAGGTCTGTTTTGACAAGTTCCACCCCTCAGGATGGTCCCGTGCTTACAATTCCAGGAACGGGCTCCAACTCAGCCTGAGAATGGGCCGTGGTTTAAATTGTAGGAAGAACTCCCGAGGGTGGGAGTGGAAGCGGGTGGGCCGCGTGGTTGTCCCCGCGGGAGGCTGGCCGGTGGGCTCTCTGGTTCCCTAGCACGGAATCAAGCAAGGGCTAGAGCCCCTTCCTTTGAGCCTCAGAGGCCAGGGCTGCAGTGGGGAGCGGTGTTTTTACAGAGGGGAGGAGAGGAGGGTCCCTGGGCAGGCCCCATAACCTCCTTGTCACCTGCGAGACCTCATGGTGATATCCCACCATCAGCAGCAAACCAGGTGTCGCTCCCAGGGGAGGGAGGGCTGGTGAGTCACCAGCAAGGGCTTGTCCCCACCTGGAACTAGACATGCATAGTATACACACACACACACACACACACACACACACGGTCAGGCAAACATCGGGCCGAGGCAAAGCAGGACAGCATCTCTCCCTAGAGCCAGCAAGGAGATGCCAATTTTTGGTCCCTGAGGTCTGGACATTTCGGGGAGTGCTGTCCCTCATCCTGTCCACCGTCCACACTTAAAACTCACCGAGCTGCAGATACTCCGTTCTGCGCGCGGAATTCCCAGAGTCCCACCGTCACCTCCCAGTGCTTCACCCCCCACCTCAACTCCAGGTCCCCCTAGAGGGGCTGGCCAATGGAGACCCATTTGCTGCTCCTCCTCTGCCCGTTCCTGATTCTTTTTCCTTTTGAAAAAAAAAAAATTCTTTTGCACCTTAAGTTCTCTCGTGTCCTGGGTTCGCTTTTATTTTATGTGATTATTTTTGTGGGTATTTTCTACAATGGAGAGTGTGTAGGCCTTCAGTCTCAAGACACTGTCTCGTGGTTCTCCCAGTGCATCTTTTAAATCGAGGCTGAGGGGTCTGCGAGACCCACCTGAGTTTCCAGGTGCAACGGGCTGTGTTGGGATAAATGTAGCAAATAGAGCCGAGTCTGTGTACTTTCTGAATGAATCCTTTCAGTGACCAAGGAAAAGCTCTCTCCAAGATCCAGACCCATATCCCGAGCAGATCAATAAAGACAACGCTGGCTTCAGTGGGCCCATGAGCTACTGGGATCAAAAATGCAGGAAGTGCTATTTTTAAGGCAAATGGAGACCTATGTGCGGTTCTCCATCAGGCGCCCTTGAATAACGCCCTGGTCATATCCCAGCCTGGGCTCACGGGCAAGTGCAGAGAGACGCTGCCTCCCCAGATCCCTCTGGCCTGCTACAGAGCTTGGGGGAAGTCCCGCCGAAGGTCAAGGGTGCCACACTGCCTGTGACCTCTCGCCTGAAGCAGATTGGGCCCCCGTGTGATTTTCATTAGCCGTAAACATGGGAGCAGGAGGGAGGGTAGCAGAAAATGTCCCGGAGTCCGAGTTGGAAAATCCGGGGGTTGGAATCCATCTCTGCCAACCTTGACAAATCACCTGACGCCTTTGTGAGCCTCAGCCTTTCATCTGTAAAGTGGGGATAATGATACCTTGCCCCGCCAGCCTCACAGGGTTGATGTGAAGGTCTGACACCAGACATGCCATGATTAACTGCCGCTCCGCCTTTAATCCTGGAGATCCTGTGGGGTGAGCCCTCGGAGCACCCCCTTCCTGCCGCTGGGACCTGCTTTCCGTCCTCCATGTCTCAGGGACATCCGACCGAGACAGTGCGTTTGCTTAGCACCTGCTGTGCAGCCACTGAGGGCTCAGAGTGCTACAATTTTGCAGAGAGCTAAAGATGTGTGGACAGCCCACGGAGCCCCTGCGGGGTGGGAGAGGCAGCTAGCCACGCCAAGGACAAGAAGGGTTCTTCGGGGAAGAGAAGCAGCCTTCACAGCCCCCCGATGTGCTCCGTAGTTTACAACAGTTGCATCGTCATAGGATGTCAAGGGCGGTGATCCACGTGGGGATGGCCAGACTGTGCGGGGATTGAGGGAGTGGGCAGGTGTGGGGGTTGGGGTGACGGTGACAAAGAAACTCCCCCTGAGGGCAGGAAATCACTGTTTAAGGCAGAGGAATCAGGAAATAGAAGTACAGGAATATTGTCTGGAAATATGGAACTCTGGGGAAAAGCCCAGCTGAAGGGGTTAAAAGTGACTGTGTCTGGAGGCCTGAACTGGGGTGTAGGCAGAGGCTGTGGTTTTTCACTACGTGCTTTTGGTTCTTTTATCTTTGGGTTTTTTTTCCCCCCCTTTGTCATCACATGTATTATGTAGATCGAAACGTATTTTTTTTTAAACGATTTTGTTCGTTCATTTGAGAGAGAGACAGAGAGAGCACAAGCAGGGGGAGAAACGAGGGAGAAGCAGTCTCCCTGCTGAGCTGGGAGCCCGATGCGGGGCTCCATCCCAGGACCTGGAGATCACAACCTGAGCTGAAGGCAGAAGCTTAACCATCTGAGCCACCCAGGTGCCCCTCAACATATATGTTTAAGAGAGAAGTCCTGTAAGTCTTAAGACCTTGATTTCTAGGAGCCCCTGGGGGGCTCATTCGTTAAGTATCTGCCTTTGGCTTGGGTCATGATCCCGGGGTCCTGGGATGGAGCCCTACATCGGGCTTCCCCACTCAACGGGAAGCCTGCTCTTCTCCCTCTCCCACTCCCCTTGCTTGTGTTCCCTCTCTCGCTGTGTCTCTCTCTGTCAAATAAATAAATAAAATCTGTTAAAAAAAAAAAAGACTTTGATTTCTAGACAGGAGCTTGGAAGGCTCACTGAACGCAGTCAGGTCCGTGCCCAAATCCAGGCGGCCTTTCTGAACCGGGGCTGGCTCGGCCCCTGAAGAAATGGCCCAAGGATGGCACGGCGGCTGGTCTGCCTGGTGAGGGTTGGGGGGCACAGGGCAGGGGCCACTGGGAAATGCTCACTGACATTGGCAGACTGTCTCCTGTCCTCTGAGGGGTCCCCCAGTGAGGTCGAAAGAGCCACTGGAGGGAGAGATCAGGACACGCTCCCATTCTGACCTTGCTCCTGCTTCGCTGTGGGATGGCAGCAAGCTGTGGCCCTCTCTGGTCTCAGGTCCCGCCTCTGGTCTATCAGGGCTTTGAGCTTCTCAAGAGCAGGCACAGTTACGTGTTTTTTTAAAACTACGAATGATGAGAAATAGCTTTCCGTGCACCGAGCACGGCAGCAAACGGGGAGAGAGAGAGGAATGTGGGAACAAAGGAGATACTTTGAGCCCATGGAAGTCCCTGGAAGAAAATAAGCCAGGGGGACAGGAGAGACCATATGGGGGGGGCACGTGGGTGCTTCACAGCAGGTGATCTGGGTGCCTCTCTGAGAAGGGGGTGTGGACCTGAGACCTAGACCGTGCAAGGGAGAGCCAGCTGAGGGTGGCAAGGAGGGAGTCCTCCAGGGAACTCTGCTCTGGGGAACTGAGACCGCACCTGAAGCCCACAAGGACAAGGGGACCAAGAGGGATGGGCATTTAGTGTGTCATTTTTTGGGGAGGGAAAAGAAATCTTTGTGAACGGCAGGGCTCAGTTCCGTGCCGCCTTGGGTTTGGTGGGCCTGTGTTCATGCCGCCCCCCAGCCCAGGACTCAGTGTATCTTCGGGGTCTGCAGAGAGGGTGCACAGGGGTGGGGGTGGTGTCGTGGGAAGGGGTGCTCCGCTGGGAAGGGCCCAGGAGATGGCGGAGGCTGGTGTGTAGACGCGAGGATTACGCTTCCTGCGGAACTCCGGGCGGGAATGGGTCAAAGAGGTGGCGTGGGTGCACTAGGTCACCTCTGAGAACGGAGATGGCACAGCACCGCCCTGTGAGGGTGCGCCGAGTACAAAAAGGGTAAAAGCAAAGTCAGCTGCAGGTGCACGTCCTTCCGCCCAGCACCCCCGCTTCTAGGACTCTGCCCCTCAGATACACTGACGCGAGTGTGCAGGGGCGTGAGTGGAAGCGGGGGAGCCCGGCGGGCTCAGTCGGTGGAGCTGCGACCTCTGCCCTCGGGGTCCTGAGTTCGAGCCCCACCTTGGGAGCAGAGAATAAAGGTAAAACGTGAAAGAAAGAAAGAAAGAAAGAAACGTAAGGATGTCCACTGGCAGTGCAGCTTGAAGTCGAAGAATGTTCGGAGAAGACCGCAGGGGCCATCAGTGGGAACCAGCGAGCCGCCGACCGCGGCTTCGGCCTCACAGGCCGGCGCCAGGCCGGCGGCCATTCCGGCGAGGCGGTGCAGCGGCTGAAAGGGAGTGATGCTGGAGGGTACCGGTGCGGGGAGAAGCCGGGCTGGAGCACGGGCTCTCGGCTCCACACCCCGGCCCCCACCAGCCCAGGGGGACACCCCGCCCCAAGAAAGGGAGACGCGGGGCTCCCCGTGAGCAAACGCTCCCACTACCCTCAGCGAGGGAGGAGGCGTGGGGGAGAGCACAGCCGGCAGCGCGCCCTTTAACCCCCGAGCTCCACCAATCCAGAAAGTGGACGCTGGGGCCCCCTCCAATCAGGAGCGAAGGGCGGGGCATGAGGCCAGAAGTGCTACTCTGGTGCTGTTCCCTCCACACGGAAACCTCAAGAGTGGAGAATAAGTGTTCCCACCCAGCCCCTATTCCTGGTGGGACGCACAGCAAACCTGCAGACTGGTTCCCCGGAGGAAGGGAAGTGGGACAGTGGCCTCAGGGATAGTAGCTTAAGAGAGGCCTGGTGTAAAGACGCAGGAGCAAAGGGTCCCTCTTAAAGGTTTAGGGGATCTCTTCTACTTATGAATGATATCCTCCAAAGACCCTGATGAGGTCACGAGCAATGTCCTAGCTGCACAAGTTCTTTTTACCCCCATTTTGTTTTTACAGGAGGTCCAGACGTCATCATGGGGGAGCACTAAGCTGGCATTTGCTTCTCTATGCCCTCATTTTTCTGGACATCTACCAGTTCAAACCAATCTGTGGCCACCCTTGTATGCCCCCTCGATCTTTCTCTTACACTGGACTCAAGACCTCTTGTAAAAACTTAACTCTTTTCTCTGCAGAAGCTCCTTGCTAATGTCTGGAATTCCAGGTGTTAAAGCTGTGCCTCCCAGAATTAGGCGTTTGAGAACCAGCCTCAGGACTTTTGTTAATGTTAAAGGCCACCATTCCTTTTATTTACATATTTTTCTTAAATGACTCACTTTCAAAACTTCAAATTTGTCTATAAATAGCTTTACTTTTTATAAAAAGAACCTTAAAAATGAACGTATTAAAATCTAAACGACATTGTTAAATTCTAGCTATACTGGCTTACCTAAAGTTCTGCTTTTTCTTTTCCTTCCTTCCTTCTTCTTTCTTTCTCTCTCCTTCTCTCTTCTCCTCTTCTCTTTTTTTTTCTTTTTCAAATGGCAGGTGTTTGAGACAGGCTAGCACCAAACTGGGTCTTTTTCTTTGGTGGACTCAGAAGGATTAGAAGAGGACTTTCTCACTCCGTGGTTCAGTGTTATTTAATGCCTTATCAACCAATGTTCCAACCAAAAATCATGCCCTATAGCATTTGAGTTCCACACTTTGGAGAAAACTGAGTTACAGCCTTTCCCCCTTCTTCTGGAAAGTTTTAGTTATGTGTCCATATGCTTTTATGTCATCTGAAGTGGATAACATACGAGGTCTGTTATCACCTTGGCATGTATAGCCCTTCCCGATGAGGTTGGCTTTTTGACAAAGGTCAGAAATCTGTTTGGGAGCAGCCTATGATGATATTTAAGAATGATGCAGGTGTGGGGCACCTGGGTGGCTCAGTTGGTTAAGCATCTGCCTTCAGCTCAGGTCATGATCTCAGGGTCCTGGGATTGAGTCCCCATGTTGGCTCCACACTCAGCAGGGAGTCTGCCTCTCCCTCTCCTTCTGCCCCTCCCCCCACTCATTCTCTCTAATAAAATTTTTTTTTTTTTTAAAGAATGATGCAGGCATCAATAAAAGAGTATTTGTCCTTTTAAGAAGAACTGGAAAAATCTCTGAGCTGGTTTGTTGGGTTCTTCTTATTGATGACGTGCAGAATCACAGCTGGGACCGCCCAGACTGAGCTCTGCAGCCAAGGCTCCTGGTTGGGTGTTGGGGAGTCCTGGGTCTTATGCAGTCACTCTGTGTGAGCCCACAAGAGTCCATCCCCATGAAGGAATAATAACGAGTTCCGTGAGTGAGAATAAGCATGGCCATACATGGGACAAGCCCTCATGGATGAATGCCTTTGGCACCCTTTGAAGAGCCCTCCGGCATCACTTCTAAAAACCAGCTACAACCCCAGTTGTTTTGCCAGATTTCCAATTTCACTTTGCAGTCCCTTCCTATTGCATATTATTCAGACTGTCTAGCCATAGTAAAAAAAAAATAGTAAAAGAATAAAAAAAAAATTACCCCCAAATCTCAGTGGTTTAACATCCAGAGGAATTATTTGTCCATCACTCTATCTGTCCAAAGTGGGAGACTTCAAGGAATTGGGGCTGCACCATGCTAACGATGTCATAGGGGAGGGATGTGGGAGAACTCACACCTGCTCTTCAGCCTGGAAACGACATCTGCCTGCCTTGCTTGCAGCCCATTGGCCAGAGTTAGTCACAAGGCTCCACCCTCCCCGCAGGGGAAGCTGGGAAATGCAGTCCTTTTAGGAGGCATAGGGTCGCTCTTTCCTGCCCTGGCACCTTTACGAAGCATGCTGCTCTGAAGAGGTGCGATGCTTTTCTGAATTCCAGATCCCAATTGGTCCTCACCTGTCCTCCACCACGAGGAATACTTGGCATCTAGATGCAACCAGGAGCAGCTCCCCCTGCCAGATTTTGTGTAGTAAATCCTCCCTAGACGAGGAATGATGAGAAGAGTGGTTTTCGCCTTTTTTTTTTTTTAAAGATTTTATTTATTGAGAGATCGAGAAAGAGTTCGAGGGTGGGGAGAGGTAGAGAGAGAGAGAGAGACACTCCCAAGCAGACTCCCTCCTGAGGGAGGAGCCCTACACGGCGCTCGGTCTCATGACCCTGAGATCACCACCTGGGCCGAAATCAAGAGTCGGTTGGATGCTTAACAGACTGAGTCACCCAGGTGCCCCATTTTTTGATTTTCTAAAACCCCACTAAAAATTGCCTGTTTTTCATTTAATTCTGTTCTGTCATTGACGAATGTATTTCTCTTTTGCACCCCCTTTAGTGCGTCTCTCTCTGTCTCTCTGGGCTCTAAGCGCGACTCCTCGCCCCGCCGTGCCCGGTGAAAATGTTGGTGCTTCTGGCTTTCATCATCATCTTCCACATCACCTCTGCCGCGCTGCTGTTCATCGCCACCATCGACAATGTGAGTTCCTTTTCCTTCCGGTCATCCCACAACCCCTGGATCCTGCAGTCCATAGAAGCAGGATGGAGAATTTCCCCTAGTTGATTAGGATATGGGGTTGTCCTCCTTACGGCGACATCTCTGCTCAGGCCCAAGGACTCATCCTCCGTGTGGAGGTTGGGAGCATCTCATGATCAAGTGTGGGTGTGCAGGGACCTGGCTTCCCTCATCCCTGATGCCCCCCCTTCCCCCGCAGAGCCTGGCATGGTGGCTGGGGCGTAGGGAGCTCTTTGAGGATGCTGCTTGGATTGAACCCTCCTCTAGATACATTTTTCAACTTCAGCCATTTGGGGCTGGATCATTCTTTGCTCTGGGGCCATCCTGTGGACTGTAGGATGCTTAGCAGCATCTTTGGTCCCTGCTCACTGGATGGCAAGCACTCCCACCCCTACTTGTGACAGCCGAAAATGCCTTTGGACATGGCCAGATGTCCTGAGGGGGAACAAAACCACCCTCAATGGAGGACCGCTGCCCTGGATCCCCTAGGTGACACATGCTAGGTGATCTCTGCCCCTCCTGCCCTTGCAAATCAGGAACCCAATTGAGAGCCACTGAGCTATGCCCTTCCTAGCAAAGCTCATGCTTGGAACTTTCCCGGTGGCCCAGGCTCCCCTGAAAAATGGAACTTTTTAAAGTACCGAGCTTGCAGCCATATGGCAAGGATGCATTTGATAAATGAACTATTGGTATAGATTACTGTCTGTCCCAGCAGGAAATGAAACTTTGTACTGAGGTTCTCAGTGGCCCACACCTTGATCCAAAAGCCTGGCTTCAATCCCAATCAGTTCAGCCTCAGGGGCATTTAGAGTCAGAAACATGGCTCCCAGAGCCCCCAGATGCACCTCACGAGTGGCCACCAGCTCTGCTTACGTCTGGGACCCCTGTTAATTTATCATCACATAACAAACAGACCATCACAACACCTGCCCTGTAGGAAGTGAGCCCTGTAGAGTGCAGGCGGCCGTAAGCGGCAGAGCTGGCATTCAAACCGCTCCCCACCCTCAATCTCATCAGGCAGGTAAATGCAGTGATCAGTTTCGGTTCCTGAAGGTTCTGGAAGTGAGTGTCCAGGGCAGAGCTCTCACGTTGATACTGTGGCTTGAGGCACTGGGCCTGCCATTACCCAGAGGACCCCACGGTCTGCGACATAAATTCACTACCGTGAATGTTCTTTCCGAGCCTCCTTTCAGTGTCCCTTGCCTCTACCCCTGTGGGATCCTGAAAGGGTCCCAGACACGGTGAAAGGGACGGACAGACCTTAGGGGCCAAAAAGCATCAGCCCAGGCCCCCGTTAATCCTTCGGGTGCCCTTGGGTGTTTGTGCTGCTTTGCACTCCTGAGAAGACACAGCCTTGTTTTTGCCTCTCAGGGAGTCAGCGGGTGTCGTTAGGAGTTAGGAATTGCACTTGACATGTAGCCGGCACACGGTGGGAGTTCAGCGACCGTTAGTGGACGGGAGGATGGGAGAGGGAGATTCCCGTGTTTGGGTGGGTGGAAGGCGTACAGAGGGCCCACTGGGCAGGGAGCCGCAGAAGCACAAAGAGGAAGCAGGCACTTGGACAGAAAGAGGAGGGCTTTGTCTGATCATTCCTTCTGTACCAGGCCTTGCCCCTAGATTTCAGCCTCTCTGACCACGGCCCCCCGCGACTTCACCCCTGTAGTTCTTTGGATTAACTGCGGTGCATGCCTGTGACCCTCCCTGAGCGTTGTCTGTGCTCCTGTGCCCTGCGAGGGCCCGGTCCCCGGCCCGCGTCTTACTTTTCTGCCACCCCACGCATAGGGGAACCTGTCGGAAATGCAGAACCCTGGCCCCACCCCAGAGCTCTCAGTCAGAATCTGCATTTTAACCTGACTCCCGGTGACTCGCATGCACAGGGCAGACACAGAAGCGCGGGTCCCGAGTACTGACCGGCCACTGTGCCTCGAAGCCGAGTAGGAGGAGCGTTTTCCTGGTTAACCAACAGCCCATACTGTGTTTCCGTTTGTGTTTACAGGCCTGGTGGGTAGGAGAAGAGTTTTTTGCAGACGTCTGGAGAGTGTGTGTCAACAACACGAATTGTACAGAAATCGATGCGAGATATCAGGGTGAGTGGCGAGCCGGTGCAGCGCACCTTAGCTATTCCCTGTGAATAGTGAACTCCTGTTCGCTGCTTTCATGCCCTTCCTTGCACTCTCGGGGTCCCCCAGAGGGGCCTGGCCGAGGGCTCTGTGCAAGCTGGAGACAGGAGGGGTGTGCAGAACCCAGAGGCTGGGGGCGTGCTGGGCCCAGCGGAGTTGGGGGCACCCTTCCCTTCCCTGTTCCTGGACCCAGGAGAGCTTCTGCGTCTCTCCAGGAGCCGGCAGATCAGGCGTCCGGTGAGGCCTCTCTTCTTGGCTGGTGTGCGGCCGCCCTCTCCTCGTGGCCTCACAGGGCAGAGGGGCAGAGAGCCGAACTGGTCCTCCGCCCTCACAACCTGATTTACCCCCTAGAGGCTCCATGTCCCGGGGCCATCCTGTCGGGGGGTTAGGATTTCGATATCGGCATTTTAAGGAGATGGAAATGATCTGCAGCTTCTGTATTTGGACTGCCCCTGGGGATTCCAAATACGGATTCCTGGTAGCCGCCCTGGAAGCACTGTGCCCTCATCTCAGGGAGAGGGGTCTAGGAGTCTGGTTTTTGTTTTGTTTTGTTTTTTTGTTTTTTTAGGAATCTGTATTTTTAACAAGCCTCCAGGTGATTTCTGAGATTGGGCCAATTTGGGAAACACCACTCTTAGCCAGAGGGTCACAGCCTTGGCCCCACGTTGGACTTGCCTGGGGGAACCTTACCCACCTCACCCCTGTGCCTGGTTCCAACACCAGAGATTCTGACTCACATCCTCTCCGTGTAGTGTGCTGGATTTGTATTTTTCATGCAGCTATAATTTAGAAACAAAAAATGTACTTCTTAAGGGCTCAGCTTATAGAGTTTGGACAATTACATATATGCCCACATAAGACCATCCAAAGCAAGATAGAGAATTTTCCTGCTACCTTAGAAAGTTCCCCTGGGCCTATTTCCACTGGTTTCCCACAGGCCCTGTCCCAAAGGCAACTGCTTCTGACTTCTGTCACCCTAGTCTCCTTCCGTCTGTTCTTGGACTTTGTGTAGACAGAGTCATCCGTTGTGTGTGTGTTGGGGGGAGGTGGTCAAGCTTCTTTCCTCAGCGTAAGGAATGGGCCAAGGGCCTGGGTGCCCTGTGGGTGATCCCCACATGTGGCCAGGGTGAACGAGTACCCGTTGCTCCAGCATTTCGTGAAGGATTTAGGAATCACGCTTCCCTCCTGTCAATTTCAGGCAAACGTCGGAAAAAAGGAGAAGGCTCTTTCTTAGGTTTTCCTGGGCAACTTCAGCCACTGTCCCCTCAGCTCTCTTAGCTGCGTCCTGGTGATAACCTTCAGCCCTTAACCGGGGACTCCCCTCTTGGCAGCACACCCTAAAATCCTTGCATGGATGAATTCCTTCCACTTCTCCTGCCTGAAGCGGGGGGAGCTGCTCTCATCCCTGTTTTCCAGAGGAGGAAACTGAGAACCATGCAGGTGGTTCCAGTCTGTGTCCTTGACCTTTTCTCTACACCCGCAGTGTGGGGCCTCCACTGTGTCCTCCCTGGGTGCCGTGGCCTCCATCCGAGACCAGCTCCTTTCTCTGATGAGATTTCCCTCTGCAGACCCCTGCTCTCCAAAAGGGAGCGCCTCCCTTTCTCTTTTTCCTAAATAGTGGTCACAAGGGTAACTCTCTTCTTTTCAGGGTGTATTAGGTAGTTCCCAGAGCACTTCTGAAGGTCACTCAACCCTGTGAGCCCTAGATTCCCCAGAGTCCCTCTGGAGACCCCTAATCCTGACCCGTCCATCCTGACTTCCCAAACCAGTTTGCCAGGTTGGAACCCGAGGGTTTGTACTTTAAAAAAAAAAAACAAAAAACCAAAAAACCCCAACCATGTGCTGAGAAGAATGACAGAGCAGGTGGTTCTCACTCCCTTTTCCAGAAAAAGACGTTGGGGACCCTCTGGTCCAGTGCACAGATGGACACTGGGGGAGGGGACATTGGGACGACCCCTTGGCTGTTCTTGTGCTCATACTGTGCAAACGTACTTCTGCCTCCCATCGTCCCCGACTCTGGAGCTGTCCCATCAGTCTGCCCACCGGAGGGGCCCAGGGGTCTGCGGTCCTCAGTCCCGCTGTCTTGCCCTCTCCCCACAGATTACCCCACAATGCAGGCAGTCCAGGCCACCATGATCCTGTCCACCATTCTCTGCTGCATCGCCTTCCTCATCTTTGTGCTCCAACTCTTCCGCCTCAAGCAGGGAGAGAGGTTCGTGCTGACCTCCATCATCCAGCTCATGTCATGTAAGTACAGCGACGGGCTTCCTGGAATAAGCATTCCCTTCCCGGCCACTGTGAGCAGGAGCCAGGAGCCGTGCAGCGGGTGAGGCTTTGGAAAGAAGCCGGACGCCATGCTGTGGCCTAACATTTTATACCTCAGAGTCGGGATTTAGACAGAGGGTCAGAGCAGCCGTGCCAGAGACAGGAAGCCTCAGCCAAGATCTGCAGGGTAAGTAGGAGCTGCCGTCAAGAATGTCCTATCTTGGTACGGAGGGAAGAGGCACAGGTTCCCCAGGGAAGATCAGGGTACTTGACCTCATCCTGCCACTAACGTCCGTTGATGATTCACTCAGGATGCTTTTGACTTCAAGTAAGAGGAAAATCCAACTAACAATGACTTCAGCCCCAAAGACTGTTGCTTTTCTGAAACAACAAAAAGCTTGAAGGTGGAAGGTGCCATTGTGGGTCTGGCAGCCCAGCAGCTGCAGCAAGAACCTCCACTTGATCCTTTGATGCTTTCATCCTCAGAGTGTCAGCGATGACCTCCTCATGGCCCCCAAAAGGCTGCTGTAGCTCCAAACATTCCTCCTGACCTAACAGTATCTGAAGCAGTTAATAAGGAAAAGCACGGCAACCAAAAAAAAAAGTGCTTTATCCTCCCTGTCTCTTTCCAGGGAGTAATATTTTTCACTGAAGCATTTCTCTGTGGCCAGAACTGCAACATATTAGAAGTAAACAGGAACAGGATTGCCTGGGTGCGGGGGGGACAGTTGGCAGAGTATGGTGCGCAGGCCAAATCTGGTTCACTGCCTGGTCTTGTAACATTTTACTGGACTGTAGCCCCGCCCATTCATGTGCATACTGCCTGTGGCTATGTCCACGCAGCCACCGCAACCATGGCTGAGCTGAGTAGTTGGAACAGAGGTTGTATGTGGCGCACAGACCCTGAACTATTCTGTCTGGCTGACCCGTGGCCTTAGACCAGTGATGGGCTGGGTTTCCAGCTGCCCAGGCAAAATCGGGCTCAGCTAGCCGCAAGCGGGAAGTGAAGCCATACAGAGTGGGCAGCCATGACCTGCAATGAAACAGCAGCAGTGCTCTTTCCCCTGGACTAAAATAAACACCCGCCAATAATCAGAGCTTAAGTGTGCTTCCTCTCTGGCCATGGTCCCCTCGGGTCCATGGCCCATGCTTTGACGTGGTCTGTGTCTGATTTATTTGCTTGCTTTCGGCAGGCCTCTGTGTCATGATTGCGGCTTCCATATACACAGACCGGCGTGAAGACCTTCACAAGAGCAACTTCGAATTCTACCACCAAGTTCAGGAAGGCAGCTACGGCTACTCCTTCATCCTGGCGTGGGTGGCCTTCGCCTTCACCTTCATCAGCGGCCTCATGTACCTGATCCTGAGGAAACGCAAATAGAAGCCCGGGAGCGAGGTCGCTTTTGCTGCAGTACAAAAATCTACGTTCAGATAACCGTTTTGTATATAATCAATTTTTTGTGTGCGGTTTTTCTAGCAAACATATTGTTTCCTTTAAAAGCCAAAAAGAAAAAAAAAAAAAAAGAGAGAGAAGAATTTTGCATTCTTGAGATCAGAGAATAGACGATGAAGGTTGGGATGCGGAATTCCTGCCCATCTGAAAGTCTCAACGAGACCAAACCCCCAATCCAGCGATGCTCAAGTCCAAAAACATTCAGCAGGAGGTTTCTTAACCCCGGGGATGTGATGTGATGTGACAAGAGACCAAGAACTCCAGGTCTCAGGGAGACATCCTTCCCTAGGTGTGAGCTGCGCTGAGCCCCTCCTCCCCCAGCTCAGCCTCCCCTCCCCCTTCTGTCTGTGTCAGGGTTGGAGGTGGGGTGAGGGGTGAAGCCTGCTCAGATGTTTAGCCAAGTTCCATGTGATAAACAGGTGTCACCCCTGTGTTGTGTCTATATCCAGACCAAAGCCTCCTGTGCTGGGCTGGGTCAAGAAAGTGCCACCCACCTTTGGTGACACTGTTACCAGCTTGCCTTAGGGGAGGCAATCTTTAACTTGGGGTCGGATTTAGGCTCACCTTCCTAAGGCAAAGAATCTCAGTGTGATCCCCAGCAAACAGTAGTAATGGGGGCCCTCCCTAGACCTGTGGAATCAGAGGCTTCAGGGATGGGGCCTGGGCACCTGCATTTCTAACAAGCTCCTTGGGGACACGAAGCTCCTTGAAGCTGAGGACCACGGCCCTGGGGCCAGGCGAGCAGAGCCACCTCATAAATGTTAAAGATCTTGTGTCCAGATGGTGAATGCCGGCCTCTGCTGGCCTCCATCACCCCGGCCTTCCCCATCTGTCCCGCAGCTGCTCACAGGTGGGCCTTCCCAACAGCGGCCCAGCCCTGCACCCCCACAGCCAGCCAGACAGCCTAGGGGTGCTGCTGCCTCCCTTCTCCTCTCAGTAGGAAGGCCCCGCCCTCCTCCCCCTGCCCTGCCTTCTAAGGCTTGCTGGCCTCAGTGGACCCACCCACCGTTCCTTCAACAGCATAAATTGCAGAGGGTTTGGTGCCTGCCCAGCACCAGGGATGCCATGTGGGCAGGCTCTTCTGGGGCTCGCCGTCCCGTGGAGAGGGCAGCTGGAAACTTAGGAACAGTAATCGCACAGTGAGGAAGGCGGCAGAGAACACAACCAGGGGTTCAAAAGCGAAGTTCTTGGGTTGGGGGAAGCCTGCTCTGTCCCTGCCCTTCCCAGAGGCACTTAGATGGGCTGAAATACCACTCCAGCCAGCCACGCAGAGTGCCTTCACTGGGCGGTGTGGTCTGGGTTACCCCCAGAGGACACTTCTCGGATCTGGAGGGGCCCGGCGTCCGACTGCAAACGAAGCCAGTGAGAAGCTTCCAGATGGCCGTGGCTTTCCACTTCGGTGCGCACACTGCCCCCCAGGGAACGTGCTTTGGCAGGGTCTGGGTGAAGGGCGCTCTGGGCGATTCTGAGACCGTCTTACGGGGTGCCAGGGTGGTGGTGGCGGGGCGGAGGGGGGGATAGTTTGCCCTCAAGTGTGGGGGCACTGTTTCCGTGTGCGGCCAGGCAGGTGACCCCAGGAAGGGCCCGTGGAGAAGCTCTCTGCACCTTGCTGTCTATAGCCTCCCAGTTGTTGAGTGTGCTGCTGGGGCCGTGTGGGGGACCCACCCACCCCCTCTCTGTGCTGGTGCCATATACGTGCTTTTGCCCTGGACCTTCATCAGCCTGGGTCCCGTGGAGCTGGGAAGATGTCTGGTTTGAGTGATTTAGGGTCACCACGGACACCAGAGCAGGACTGGGTTCTCTCTCCATCCACTCATTCACTCGCTCGTTCATTTTCAACAGACTAGTCAGTGCTTACTATGTGCCAGGCACTGGGTGAGGCTCTCAAAACACAGGGCAAGCAAATTTAGACAGCCTCTCTGAGACAGGACCCCAACACTGTGCAGGGTGACATAGGGACAGAGACAGGACCAGTGGCCACCTTGTGCCTCCACGGAAAACACCCGTTAGCCCTGCTGTGGGTAGGGAGGGTCGGTCACACCCCTGGGGTTTGCAAGATGCTACGTGAGCCTCAAGGAGGAAGGTGGGGCAACGTGCCCCAGGGCTTCTCACCCGGGTGGCTTTTCTAGATTTTTCTTGTAGCCACAGTGGAAACAAACAAAAAGTCTTAGAGCCAGGAATCTGGAAAGCCTACTCTGCCAGGCAGTGTGTGAATATCATTCCCCCAAACTTGAGCATCTGTGACGACCCCATGGATTTTTCTAGCTGGTCGCCACATCCATCTGTGACACCAAGGTTTTGTGAAATATGAGAGCTGCTTTCCCCCGCGAGCCCCCGACCCCGCCGGTGGCGTGACCTGCACCGGGAAAGCGGGGAGGACAAAACTGTCCGAACTTCTGACCTGTTGGTAGAACCAGCCCTCCCTCGGTGCTTGTTCTCAGTTACCCAACACAGCAAATTAGCTGAGACACCCAAGAAGCAAATATTAGGACCAAACATGTTACTCATAACAACCATATTTGAAGGAACTGTAGTTTGCGCCTTTTAGAACATTTTTATAAAGTACTGTAATTCTCGCGTGGAGGGGCTACGGATGGAGACAGACTAACTTGTTTTGTTACTTGCATTAAAATTACTTTGGGTCTCTGTTCAGATGAGTTTGGAGGACTGATTTGTTGCCCTGAGTGAATGTGTATATTCAGACCTGAATACAGGAGAATTGGGGATGTCCCCCACCCCCTACACTCCCCTCTCCCCCATCCCGCCCTCAACACCACATCCTCTCTGCTGTAGGTTGTGTGCCTGTGCATATGGGAGTCCTGGGATGCTCTGTATTTACTGGTGATGGAGAAACCCTGATCCCGAGGCCATAGGCACACACACTAAACATAGCTGGAAAAGCCACAGGAGCTGTGGCTTCGTTTAAAATCTGTCTGGGTTGGGGTGCCTCGGTGGCTCAGTCCTTAAGCATCTGCCTTCGGCTCAGGTCATGATCCCCAGGGTCATGGAATTGAGCCCTGCATCGGGCTCCCTTCTCCATAGGAGGCCTGCTTCTCCCTCTTCACTCCCCCTGCTTGTGTTCCCTCTTGCTGTGTCTCTGTCAAATGATTAAGTAAAATCTTTATAAAAAAAATTCTGCCTGGATGGGGAAATGACTTGCTAATAGTTGAGAGGTTACTTCATAATACGACAGGTGACAGTTTTGTGTACTGGGGGGGGTAGTGGTTTTGGGGGGAAATGTGAGGGAAAGGCCTCAGAGATAAATTTGAATCTTGGTTTGGGGACAAACTGTGATTTTAGGATAGTTGGGTACGTTCTGTTTCATGTGCCTTTAAAGTAGTCTATTTTCTATATTTTATATAATGTGAAACTGTATGTGACAAAGTTTGGAACCAGATCACCTAGGCCATCAGCCTCTAGTGTTCCAACCGTCCCAACAGTCAGGGGACAATGCTGCCATTTCGAGTGACAAGGTGCCATGTGATTTCTCATCAAGACAATCGTGTGAGGTCTTTGCAGGGAGCAACTGATGTCTGACAACTCATCACAGGACAGCCTCCAGCGCCCTCTGCCTCTCATGGAACCGGATTCCTGGAAGAAGGACCCGCAGGGGTTCGGGACCCCATGCTTGGTTAGTGATCTGGTAGTACCATCTGAAAGTTCTCCACGATAGCAGAGCCAGCAGCCCCCCATTTTGTATTTGCAGTGGTCTCCAAGGATTGCAGAGCCAGCCCTGTTCTCCAGTTTGCTTGATAAAGACTGTTGCTTTAAAGGGGTTGAGTGATGATGAAAATCAGACTATCTTCACGGAACACTCTGCTACAAAAATGAAAAATGCAGCCAGAAAGAAGATGATGCTGGATACATAGGTAGATAAGTAGGTTGGTAGGAAGGTAGGTCGGTAGGTAGGTACATAGATAAATGAGGAGAGAGAGAGAGAGATCTTGAATTTTTACCTAAGGAATGCCAAAGGTAGTAAAAGCAATCTATCTGGGGAACCTACGTTCCCTTGTCTCTACACGGGAGTTGCAAACTAAAACCTTCAGTGGTTACTGTCTGTATTCTTGGTGTTTCTAGGGTTTCCTGTTGCTTGGCTTGGCTTGGGATTTGGTCCACGTGGCAGGTAGATGGTGGTCTCCCCAGAGAACTCAATTTTATCTATTTCTTCCATTTGGAAGAAAGCTTGTCATTCATTCATTCACAAAATCTTGGTGACCTAGCCTGATTCATTCTGGAGAATGTTCCACACGTGCTTGAGAAGACTGTGTACTCTGCTACTCTCGGAGGGAATGTTCTGAGATGTCTGTCTGGTCCACTTGGTCTAAAGTCTGGTTCCAATCCAATGTGTCCTTAGGGATTTTCTGCCTGGATGATGTATCCCTTGCTGATGGTGGGGTTCGAAAGTCTACTACTATTACTGTATCCCTCTCTTGAGATCTGTTAATACTGCTTCGTGTCTAGGTGCTCTGATGTTGCATTAATGATGGTGCATTCATTTTTACGGTAAAGGGATCACTTCATCATGAGGATGTCATAAATATTTATTCACCAATTATGTGTATATTACGGCCTAAGCATTGTGCTCGATGTTAGGTACTGTCTCAGCCCTGCTCTAGACTTCCCTTAGTCCCATTAAAAAAAAAAAAAGGGAAACGAGGCATACTTGGTGACACATGAAATTCGAATTTCAGTGTCCATAAATAAGGTTTTATTGGAACACGGCCATGCCCTCTTGTCTCTATCACACTGGCTGCCTTCTTGCTTTGCGAGCAGAGTCACCGTAGGACACGCACAGCCAGCAAAGCCCTAATACTATGTGGCCTGTTCCAGAAAATGTTTGCCATCCCCTGGTCTAATACAAGAAGGGAACTGTCTCTTTGTGTGTCTCTTTTTAGGAACAAGAAGAGTTTTCCTAGAACCCTTTGGCAAACTCTTCCTGATGCCCTTGGTCTGAGGATTCCAGTTTTCATGCTTAACCCAGACACTGGCAGAGGTCATTAAAATGACCACGCTTAGAGCAGTGACATCTTAGCTGGGGATCAGATTCCTTCAGCGAGGGATATACTCAGGAAGCATGCTCTTAGAGAAGAGGCGACGGACACTGTGTGCCCCAGTCCATCCCTGGGCTGCCCCACATGCAGACATAACTCCGTAAGAATTTTTAAGATTCTTATATATTCATGAAATAAACTAACCCCTTCCCAAGAGGTAAACAGCCTGAAGCCCAAACCAGTTAGTCCTTCCAACTCGGAGGTCAGGGGTGGGGGGGCATTTGGTGACACTGATTATCGTCTTTATCAGATGTGGCACCTCATGGCCTGGCAGCCTGTGACAGGAAGCTAAGTCCTAGACGCCCGATGTCCCCAACATGTAACGGGGAAAAGGAACAGGATGTCTATCATAAACGATCCTCTTTGGAAAATGCATGAGAAGAAGAATCAATGCCCAGGGGCTGAAGGTTCCAGTAGCAGCAGAGCTGGGTGCTTCTGCCTTATGGTCTTTTAGGAGGTGGGGTAAACTTTGAGCTGGAGAACTCCTGTCTCCTCGACTGGTGGCTGTGTCTCCTGAGGCCATAACGTCAAGCTGGCATCGTCCAAGCTACGTCCCTGGGCTTGGCCCTTTGTCTGGTGAAAAGGCTAGGACCTGGCCTATCTTTTCTAGTTATCTCCCCCATTCTGTTCGGCTTTCTGCCCCCACGCCCCTGAGCTGTGGTTTAGCGCAGGGCTTGGCACCCGAAGGGCTCGCCGGCCGAAGGCCTGCTTTTTTAAGGCCCCAGAGCGAAGAACGCATTTTGGTTCTTAAAGAGTGCTAAAAAAACGTGGAGAGGAATGCAGCAACGACCTTGGGTGGCCCGGGACCCCTAAGCTCTTTACCGTCTGGCCCTTTACAGGCCAAGGCGCCGACTCCTGGCTTAGAATTGGAGTCGTCCACCCCTGCCAATCTCTGAATCCTTGGACTTTAGACTGTGGGCTTCAGGCAGAAACAATCTCAGTAAAGCCCTATTTTCTTCCACTTCTGCTATTAGATGAACCAAGTTTCAGCTCAAATAGACGTCTTCTCGCAGGAGCTTAGTGGAAACTCTAGGAAGCTGCACAGGGCACCAGCCCCGATATGGTTCTAAAACTTTCCCTGATATGACAACATCCGTCAGGATCCCGGAGTCCTGGCATCGAGCCCCGTGTCGGGCTCCCCGCTCAGCGGGGAGTCGGCTTCCCCCTCTCCCGCTGCCCCTCTCCCTGCTCGTGCTGTCACTCACTCTCTCCCCACAAAATAAGAAAAATCTTAAAAACCCAAACAAAAGAACAGCGGCAGAGATGATTTGGTTGTCAAAGAGACCACACCAGCCTGGAAGCGCGGATCCTCACCGCCCTCGGCTCGGCCGCCTCCGCCGGCCAGCGGCTCCCTAGAGCGTCTGTGGCTTGGAGCGCCCACGTTTAGTCCCATCACTTAGTCGCGAGCCACAGCGACTCGGGCTGCTGTACCCCGAACAGGAGTTCCGTAAAAGGAAATCAGGCAGCGTACGGGCTTCGGAAGAAGGCAGCCAAGCCCCCTGGGCATTGCCTCAGATCCTTCCAGAGAACCGATTGCCAGGGAGACCACTACGTGCCCCACAAGATGGTGCCCTGCGCTGAGAACTTACCTTACACAGCCCGTCGCTCGGCCGGAAGACATCCTCTACCGGCGCGAGCCTCACTCCTTCCGGCGCAGCGCGCGGCATGCTGCGTCCACCTGATTGGTGAAGACCGCGTCATGTGACCACGCCCTCGCTGCAAGGGAGGCTGGGAAATAGGCAGCGGGCATTATCAGCGTCTGCAGGGGGAGGTCAGGTCGGCCCCCCACCAAGACTCGGAAGGAAGGGACTTCCCCAGCAGAGGAAGGAAGTTCCAATCCCGGGCGGTCGAGCCCAGTGCGAAGCGCCTGCTGCATCCTACCGGAATCCCGTTCCCCATTTAGCCGCTCGTGCTTCCCAAGCTTTATGGACGCGTCTCTCAGCCACGGCTCCTTGCTCGTAGACATGTACAGTCTGCACTATTGTTTGCCGAACTTTGTTCTTCCAAGCAACTATTTTTTAACATAAATGCATTGATTCCGAAGGAAAGTATCGGGTAAGTTGAAAACCAGCATCGGTTGTCCCAAGTGACCCGGATATGATTTAAAATGAGAATGCTATGAAGAGTGTAGTCTGGTGGGGGTTTTGAGCCCGAGGACTGGCCCTTTCCAAGGAAGAAGGGAGGCTAGGAACAGATGGAGACCTTAAAATGGGGTCGGGACCATAGCTGCTCGGTCAGAAGACGGTGACTGTCCCCCACGCGGTGTGACTGTAGGTATCACCTGATCTAGCTGGGTAACACTGGGGGTATTTGCCTCGTAATGGCAATATAGAAAACCGTAAACCGATGCTCTTGCTGGTGTGAGGGAATTCACAGGTGCGCCTTGTTCCTCCCGGTCACGATTTCCTGAGTCTCCTCTTCCAAGCTGGCCTAGTGATACGGCCCAATCCCACACAGATGTCAGTGAGGCCATACCTGGATGTGCACGATCAGAGGTTTCCAGCCTCTGAGGAAGCCTGACACACCCCATATCTCACCCCCACTTCTGACCACACGCCCCACTCGAGCTTCTGGGATGGCAGTGACCCAGGAGGGCGATGTGTAATCCCCCGCAGATGGCTAATTACAGAGCGTGTCTGGCTTTTTAAGGGGCTGAGGTTTCTGACTCATTGCCTCTGGGGCCGGAGCTTTGATTTGTCTTCTCTGATGGCTGCATTTCTCCCTCCCACCCAAGGCCATGGCCCTGGACTTCTGCGATCAACTAAACCCTCCCCGGAAGGCAAAAACCAGGCCACCTAAGACCCTTGGGCCTCAGAACCAGACAGGCCCAGGTTCCAATCTGACTCAGCAACTAGTTGCATGGAGGCTTTGCCAAGTGACTAAGATGCTGCAGACCTCGTGTCCTAATCTGCAAAATGGGGTAATGCTCCAGCCATCTGGTCTCCTGTTCTGCCCGTGTGTTGAGCACCTACTATGCACCGTATAGTGGGGTAGGCACAGAGACACAAGGATGGACCAGACAGGTCCCACACACTCATGGAGACCTCACTGTAGCGAGGACAAACAGACCGCAAGCAAGAAAAATAAAATTACAAATTGGGATACAGCCCATGAAGGAGGCAGGGTGATGGGAAGACAGCAACTCGGGAGGCGAGGACTCATTGCTGGCGTGACGCTGACACTGAGACCTGCGTTAGGAGGGTCTGAGGACGGAAAGGACAGGGCTACGGGACCCGCTGTTATGCAGGGTTGTGGGGATTCAGTGAGGAAGCCCACGTGCAGAACACGGTGCGGAGGACACCCAGTGCTCGTGGAGCCACCCAGAACCCCGGCTAACAGAGCATCTTTCCCACAAATTGTATCATTACATTTGATTCTCATGGCAGCCCGTCAAACAGAGCAGACACCGTGCACTCCTGTTACTGGTGGGAAAGCGAGAAGAGCAGGTAAGTACAGGAAGGAGGCAGAGTGGTTTCCTTTGGTCTCTCTTCTCCCCCAAACCACCTCCTTTGATTGATGGTGGCCCCTTGCAAGATGGGAGTGGATGAGCTAGTGTTTGGTGTTCGTGGGTCTGGGCTCAGTGGGAGGTGGGCTGGGCAGCTCTGCTCATCCTGGGTGGACTTGGCCCCATGTCTGGGTGTTGGTGGATGAAGACTGGCCTTGTCTGAGATGGCTGGGGCACTCAGCCTTGTGTTCCGTAGCTCTCGTGTCCTGGATCAGACTGGCTCAGGTATAGACTTACGGTGATGTCAGAGATGCAGGAGAGCGAAGGGAAACATAGACATTCTCTCGGGCTTGCAGTTGGGATGCCACTCCTGCTGCCTCGTATCGGCCAAACGGGCTACAGATCTTAACCTGGTGCAAGGAGGGGAAACCAGCTCCCTCCTTCAGGGAGTGGACCACACAGTCACCTGGCGGAGGATGGGGTGAGAAGGTGAGGGCGGGAGGGAGCAAAGGATTAATATAACAGATTAATATAATCTGTTAGCACAGACTTCTGTTCGGGGCCATAAAATAGAGAACGTGTGTGTGTGTGTGTGTGTGTGTGTGAATGGAACCACCCAGAGCACACACCATTTAAGGCATACTTGTGCAAATGCAGATTCCAGACCTATTAAATCTTGAAGGGACTGGCCCAGTATCTGAATGTTAGGACTTCAGGTTTTTCGGGTGATTCCAAAGTTTGCAGATCGTCATTTTCAGGGAGCAGATCTAGGTATAAAGCAGAGGAGTTTAAATTTTACGTTTGGAGGTAAACGCTAGAACATGTATATGAGTATCTCCTCCACCCCTCCAAAAAAAATGTGTATCCCAGATGTATCCTGTTTCCAGTGCGTTTGCTTTACAGACTTCGGGAGGCGCAGTGGCCAGAAAATGAAAAAGCGGGTACTACTACCACCCCCTAGTGGTGAGTGGCCGCATAACCACATAACATAATAACACCACCCCGCCCCCAGCAATGATAGATCTTTTTCAACATTCAGTTTAGTCAAATCCTACACAGCCGATCAAAGGTAATGTGTGTATTCCTCCTTACTGAACAGTTAAATCTATCCTACCAGAACATTGCTATGTGCCGCTTTTCATTAGCTCAATTCATTAATTTTTAGCTGTGTGATTTTTTTGAAATTCAATTAATTAATATATAAGGTATTATTAGTTTCAGAGGTAGAGGTCAGTGATTCATCAGTCTTATGTAACACCCAGTGCGCATTACATCACAGGCCCTTCTTAATACCCATCACCCCGTTACCCCCACCCCCGGACCCCCCTCCCCTCCTGCAACCCTCAGTTTGTTTCCTATGATTAGGAGTCCCTTATGGTATGTTTCCCTCTCTCATTTCATTTTGTTTCATTTTCCCCTTCCTTCCCCAATGCTCCTCTGTTTCGTTTCTAAAATTCCACATATGAGTGAGATCGTATAATTGTTTTTCTCTGATTGATTGATTTTGGTGAGCAGATTACCCTCAGATTCCAACCATATCATTGCAAATGGCAAGATTTCGTTTTTCTCAGTGGCTGCATAGTATTCCATTGTGTATATAGACCACCTCTTCTTTATGCGTTCATCTGTCCATGCACATCTGGGCTCTTTGCATATGTGATTTTTGTACCCTCATTTTTAGTTGGCAAGATAGTACCACATTAAGAGAGATTTGCTGCTTACAACCGGATGTCAGTATAGAAGTTACCTCTTCTTACATGAGACCAGAATATCTTTCCAGTGCAAAACCACTTCGAAGTCATTTTAAATAATTGTTTTGAAAAGTACCTGTGAATGTTTTCTTTCAAAATCTGTCCTTGTAAGAGCTCCCTAGTATGGACCAAAGTTTCTCAGCGTTGGCTCAGTGGGCATTTGGGACCAGATAATTCTCCATTGCAGGGGCTGTCTTACACCTCTCTGGCATTTACCAGCGTGCCTGGCTTCCAACCATTAGATGCCAGGAGACACTCCCCCCACACACATGAAATTATGGCAGAAAAAAGGTCCCCAGATCCTGCCAGATGTCCCCTGGGGAGGCAGAGTTGCCCTCAGATGGGAACTCCCTACTGCTGTAGGGTTTTATATACCAGGAAATACGGTGACGGGCAATCCTCTGGGAGGTTGCAAGGGCTGGAAATTCTGAGGGTGGCTGGCCCTGCTGCAGCTCCTCCTGGGACAACAAGGCAAAGCCAATGACAGCCTGCCCCACTGTGGCCCTTGGCATGTCTTTACCCGCAGGAGAACAGCACAAGATGTTCCTGGTGCCCAGGCTGCAGCTGCACATTTGCTCAATATTTGTCATCAGCTGAAACAAACAGAGACAGGAGGAACCAGGAAGAAATTGCTGCTCCGTGTTTGTAGAAGGATAATAGCGTAATTTCACCGGAGGCTTGGACACATGCGAGGAAAGGGAGGTGTGACCGGACCTTGGCACAGGGTTACCTTGAAAAACAGATTTTGCGATTTTTTCCAGAAGGGGAAGTTAAATTGCCAGGACAGGCTGCTGCCTCGTCCAGGAGGGGGTGACGGCTGAGGGAGCTGCTGGAGACCAGAGCTCTGCCAGAAGACCAGCCACCTCCCTCCTTCCCCATCCTCTGTCCTCCCGCGGCTGCCTGGGATGGGTTGACTTGGGTCCAGGAGAAAGGATCCTGAAAGCCCCCCAGCCATTTTTCGGATAAGGTGTGACAACCGGATCTTGAGAAAGTAGCTCTCTGGGACCAAGGGTTGGGGTGACCCCGCGGAGCAAGCTGCCTCTGTCCCAATTGTATCATAGCCACTCGGTGCTGTGTGCCCTGCAGCTAGCTGCTGGATTTCTCTGGGCCTCTGCTTCCTCTAAAATGGGACTGGTGGTGGCAGCAACTGCAGGGGGCATACAGTTGGTGCTCACTGATGGCTGTTAATCTCTTACTATTGTCAGGGCCACCTGCCTGGTGCGTGGTCGATTCAAAGCTTGAACCTAGATTGTCTGACCCCGGATCCCGGGTTCTTGCCCTTGCCACGTGCCAGAAACCCCTGGGATGCTTCTGAGCCCGGATCCCACAGAAGGGGTCATTCACTGGTCTGGGGGAACAGTCTGGGAGTGGAAGTTGTTCAAGTTCTCCAGGTGATTCTAACGGGTAGCTCGGGGCAGGGAACCTATCCTGGTCCACGTTGTAACCCAGGTGTGACGCAGTAAGTCAGGATGCTAAGTATTTGACCTTCTGCGATGGGCTTGTGTGACTTAGCATAACGTCCTTCGGGTTCATGCACAATGCGGCCTGTGGCCACGTCTCCTTCTTCTTGGCGCCCACATTATACTCCATTGAGTGTACACCCCGTCTTCGCTTTATCCACCGGGCTCTGTGGATGGGTCTTTACTTTGTTACCGCCTCTTGATATCACTTGACCTCTAGGAGTCAGACTCAGGAACAGACAGTGGAATGTGCGTTGCCAGCAGCTGGGGGAAGGGGGTACGGACTTGCGCTCATGCAGCTTGGAAGATGTTCTAGAGATGTCCTGAACGCCGGCGTGCTTATGGTGAATGATAGCAGACGCTCAAAACTGTAAGGAGGTAGATCTCCTCTGTTTTCTTTTTCACCACGATTAAACAGTTGGGTGGTTCAAAGAAGTGTGAAAGTCTCCCGAGTGGGCAGAGCCCCCAGGGAGCAGGACTGAATGAATCGGAAGGGGCTTCCTGGAGGAGGTGGTGGCCGAGCTGACCATGGAGATGGACCTTCAGGGAGGAGAGGCTCCCCTGGGGAGAGCAGGAAAGCGTAGAGCCAACATGCGGAGCAGCCGCTGGAGTGGAAGCTTTCCCAGGGAATTAATGGGAGCAGCAGGCTGCTGGGAGCTCCAAGCAGGGATCTGGAGCCTTCGGTGTGAACCCAGACATGGGAGATCCGAAGAGTTGCGGGTCGCACCTCCCCACCTCTGGGTGAGTTGACACAGTAACCAGAGTATCTAATGAAGGGTGATGCTTCAGGCTCGCCCTCCAGCCTCTATCTTCCTCCACTGGTTTTCTCAGCAAGGGAGGCAGAGGCCCAGGAGGCAAGATAGGGCCAAATGGGGCAAAATGTGTGACTAGCCCGATGGTGCCCGCAGCTCCCCTGATTTCAGGTTTGGGCTCACAACTGCCTGCTTGTATGGGAAAAAGTCTTTATAATGGCCCAGGGCGGGGGTGGGGGGTAAATGGAGGTGGGAGGTGAGGAAGAACCTTTCTTAAAGGGTCCGTAGACTCGCTGCTAGCTTGGAACTCCCTGCTGGGGGGAGGCGTGCGGAGCTGCACATTTCTCAGCTGCACCCCCAGCTTTGAGTCTGTCCCTGCAGGGGTGGGGCCCGGGAGTCCTCGCAGGGATCGATATGGCAGGGTGGCAGTGGTGGGGCTCAACTGGGAGTGTTTCACAGGCTGTTGAGCTGGGTCTGCTAAGGCAGCCAGTGCTGTGGCCCTGAGATGGCTCAGCCTGCCGGGATTTCCTTCTTCTCTGCCAGTCTCTGCTCAGTGAAATGCAGAGCAGGCCTAAAGGTGGTTTGGAAGTGCCTTGACCTGACTTCAGTGTGGTCCGACCAAAACTGAGAAATTAAAAAAAAAAGAAAAGAAAAAAAAAGGGAAATATCCCCTCCTGTGCAGGGTCTGCTGATGGTTGAAAAACCTAGTAACTGTGTGGCTATTTATTGCCTTTTTTTTTTTTTTTGTGGCTAGTTTGCAGTCCCCCTCGCTTTGGTAATAACACCCCAAATTCCTTTTGGAGAATCATCTCTCCTTCCCTGTGGGCAAATCTGATGGGCAAGTCAATGAGGTGTCTTGTGCTATGGGACCCACACCAGACCAATCAACCTTTCTTTCTTAGAAAACCTCCTGGGCTCGGGGCGGGTGGAAAACCCTGTGGATGTTTGTTCCGGGGAGCAGGTGGGTCTTTATCTTTGCCCCCTTCTGAGCCTTCCCTAATTCGACACCACAACTGAGCCAGTTGGAAATCCCCCTCCTCAAGTTCTGATCTGCTTGACCACTCTGAAGGTGTCTCTCGTTATCTCTATCTGGGTGCAGCTGCAAAGTTGTGGAAAGCTTCGTTTTATTTTTATCTTTATCTTGGCGTGGGAAAGGGGAGGAGCTGGGGTGGGGATGATAACGGGAATCATTGCTGTGCGATTCCTCTGCCCTATTCAACATAGTCCACCAGAAGAGGGTCCCATTTTCATGGCAGACAACATAGAGAAAGTTGCTTCTAGAATCTTCCTGAGATGAGTCTTTTTCCCCTCGTGTTGGGTTCAGCTTAAGGGAATTAGTTTTAATCTACATCAATCAATGCTAATGTGACAAAAGGGGAGGAGGAAGAGACCGGAAAGATGATAAAATCCACCCTCCAGGGCTTTGTTTCTAAGTAGAACCGAAGCTCTAAAATCTAAAATCGAAAACAGGGAAGGGCTTTTGAAAAACCAATTGACTTTGGCTTTTTTTAATAATTTGTGAATGAAGTTCAAAATTGAAATCAACTGAATACTGCCAGAAAGCAAGCATTTTCCCTCTGCCCTTCTTGTTTTGTTTTTGATTGGTCCAATAATCGAATGAGCATAGGACAGATGAACAGGAGCAAAACAAATTTAATTAGTACGTACTGGAGCCCCACAAAGACAGTGAGACCCAAGGACAACCCAGGCAGTTGAGGCTCACATGTCATCTGGAGCTAAGGGATGAGCTAGGGTCCTGGGGCTTCAAAGCAGAGGAGGGTGACTCACAGGACAAAAAGGGCAAATGTCTGGTAATTAGGTGGCTGACTTGCTATACAGATAGGTCATTCCGATTACAAAGCTGTCTCTTGGTAGTAGCTCTCTTTCTGGGCCAAGCTCCCTATCTAAATTCTCTTACATCGTTTAAGGAAGAGATAAAAGTTTCTCTTGAATCTGCTCGGTCTTGATTGCCTTCAGCTCAAAATAGTCCACATACCAAAGTGGCACATTTGCGGGGAGATTTGCTCTGAACCCGGGCAGAATCAATGTGGAGGTCTGGGAGGTAAGGACCATGTCGAATCTAGATATTAAGTAAGAGACTTGCCACACTGGCACCATATTTCAAGTATGTTATTTTGTAGGGTTGTGACTCTTGGCTTCAACGTGAAAAGGACAAAAAAGTTTAACGTCCGTTTCAGAAAGGTGGGAAAGAGGCCTCCTGCCACCTGGTGGCCAATTTTCCAAATTGTTTGCTGGGGCCTTTTAGGGAAGAAATTTGTGACATTGAATGTAGGAGGTGAAATGCAAAAATTCCAATGCCCTAGACCTGGGCATCTAGACCTTGGCTCTCGACCTGGGATAGATACATCTCTATATTCAACTAAAATCTTCATTATGAACCAAAACAATTTGGTTTGGTCTGGTAAAGATTCTTTTTTAAAAAATCAGATAGTCCCCAAGGAAGAGAAATGAGTCCAGTGATTTCTTTCATGGTCATTTGGCATTTTCCCCTGCCAAGTTATTTTTCCTGGAGGACGGACTGTGTGCGTGTTTATTCTGCCCTCCTTACTGGCCTCAGGGCAGAGTAAGTGGATCCTGAGGTCTGCCTGGTTATGTGCCTTCAAGGTTCCCAGGAAAGGGTTCTTGATTCTCCTGCCCCTGGACATCACTTCCACAACCCCAGCCCAGCTGCTGTCCCTTGTTCTGAACACGGCAATAGACTTGTAATTGACTAATCACAAGACCCCGGTTTCCTGGTCTACCTGTCACCCGCACCCATTCTCTAGGTTAGTTTCTACACGGCAACCGGAGTGATCTCAACCTTGTCTTCCCCTGTTACCATCTTGATTGAAATCTTCGCTGGCTCTCCATAACGCCCAAGATACTGACCAACTTTTTATTTATTTATTTATTTTAAGTTTTATTTTTAATTCCAGTATAGTTAACATACAGCGTTATATTAGCTTTGGGTGTACAATGTAGTGATTCAACACTGCCATATGTCACCCAGTGGTCATCATGACAAGTGCCCTCCTTAATCCCCATCCCCCCAACCCCTCCCCTCCGGGAACCATCAGTTTATTCTCTATAGTGAAGAAGAGTCCGTTTCTTGATTGGTGTCTTTTTTTTCTTTGCTTGTTTGTTTCTTAAATTGTACATGAGTGAAATCCTACAGTATTTGTCTTTCTTGGGTTGATTTATTTCGTTTAGCATTGTACTCTCTAGCTCCATCTGTCATTGCAAATGGCAAGATATCATTCCTTTTTATGGCTGAATAATACTGTTATATACCTGTAATGCATCTTCTTTATCCATTCACCAATCAGTGGACACTTGGGCTGTTTGCACAGTCCGGCTGTTGAAAATAACGCTGCGATAGTAAGGAGGTTCCTCCAAAAGGTAAAAATAGAACTACCTGTGATCCAGTAATGGCACTCCTGGGTATTTACCTAAAAAATACAAACACTAATTCAGAGGGATACATGTACCCCTAGGTTTTAGCAGCATTACTTACAATAACGACCCAGCTTCAGTCTCTAACACTGTCCCAGGTGCGGTTGCTGCCTCAAAAACAAGCCCCAAATTTAGAGGCCTCGAATAACTTTCGTTTTGGTTAGTTTTGTGGGTTGGAAGTTTGAGTGAGTGGGGCTCAGCCGAACTGTTTGTCCCATCCCCCTGGCTTCCGCTGGGGCGTTTGAAACCCAGGATCTGCTTCAGAGACGGCTTCCTCACTCACGGGGGGCCTCCCATCTGCCACCATGTGACATCGTGTCCTCCAGGGTCTCCTGAATGGGCTTCTTGCAGCAAGGTGACCTTAGGGTGCTTGCACTTTTTAGTCGGTGGCTGACTTCCAAGACTCAGAAAGTAGAAGTTGCCAGGCCAGCTCCCGGAGCTGCCGCAGCGTCGCTTCCCCGTGCTTCATTGGTCAGAGCAGTTCTAGACCTGCCCAGAGCCAAGGAGGTAGAGACAGACTGTCCCTCTCAGTGTGGAGCCGGGGGAGGGGGGAAGGGAGGCCAGGCTGAGCTGCAGGAGACCAGCGAGGTCCTCTGTGCTCTGCTGTCCACGGTCTAGCCCCCCACAGCCTCCGCGGGCCTCCCTGAACTATCCTGGCGCCCCTGCCTCGTGCACATGTTCTCTGTGCTCTTAACCTGGTGAGCTCTACCCGTTTTGCCGATCTCCCCTGAATCAGGAGTTCCAGACCCTCCATGGACTGTAAGAGTCCAGTGACCCATTGTTTTGTCCCCCAACTTATTGTGAAAAGTTTCAACCTACAGAAATGTTGCGACATGACACCCACAGACTTTCCACTTAGATTCTCCAACTAATAACGTTGTGGTCAATATTTATTTTGGCCTTTCTGTGTGTGCATGTGTGTGTGCGCGCACGCAAATCTTTTTGAGCCATTTGTGAGTCACAGGCGTCAAGGCATGGAGTCAAATGTCCGTCATTTAACGTGGACGTGGCACTATTACCTGTACAGTCTGTAGCTGGGGCTTAGCCTGTTGTCCAGATGATGGCCTCTAGAGCTGTTTTTCTGAATCAGGATCCACTAAGAATTATGCAGTGGGTTTCGCTGGCCCTGGGATCCCCTGTTACACCCAAATTCTCTTGCTTTAGAAGACTTTCTTGAGTGAGGGTTAAACCCCTCGACCTGGCACAGACCCTTCCCGTACACATCCTCATGCCTTGTTCCTTCTAATCCTTCAAGCCTAAGTGCCTCCCTCGCCAAGAAATTCTCCTTGACCAGCCTCCCCCTCCACCCCTGCCACCATCATGCTTTACCGTATCTCCTGCTCAGTTTCCTCATGGATTGCATTGTGTTGTTCTCTGAAAATCTTGTGTGTTTACTTTTTACTTGTTAATGTCCTTAGGTCAGTTCTAAAAGGGCAGGGACAGTATCTACTTTTTTTTTTTTTTTTAAAGATTTTATTATTTGAGATTGAGGGAGAGGGAGGGAGAGGTCGAACGAGTGGGAAGGAGAGGCAGAGAGAGGG